CATGAGCATTTACAAAGAAATTTTAGAAATTCCATATCTAATAGATGAAGCTAGTTGAGGCATGTCAGAGTTTAATGTTTCGTCTACAATCTTATCATCAAAGTAAAAAGCATTAACAAATAACAAAAAATGTATTTTCAAGATGCGGTTGGAGAGTGTTGTATATTTAAGCTTCCAAGTTGTTTTTATACAAATTTATTTATTTATGGACAGGACACGTCAGCTTATAATGGTTTTTGCAACAGGGCTAGATAAAGGTGCGCTAAGGGTAAATTCGTATGGGATCAGCAGAAAATCATTGCGGTGCCGTATTCAATGTGTGTGAGAGAGACAAAAAGAGCGTGATTGCGAAATATGCATGCGCGATACCAAAGTCTATGGACGTTTCATTTGCGCTGCCGCTCTAATATACATGTTTTTTCTCTATCTCGCTCGTACACATTCAATACGGGATCGCAATGATTTTCTGTCGACGGTGTATAAAAACGAATACACACACATTCGCGAAATTTCTATAGCTATTTGGCCTATGAACATGAAGTTTCGCAATAAGGTAGGTTATGGAAAGAACATGCTAGGACGAATTATGCAATACGGTCGGATGAAAGAACGATGTATGTATTTACAAGCCTTACGAAAGATTCTTGTTTTTCTACTAGGTACCTAGAGTTTGACAGGTCTGTGGCTTATAGGCAGTATATGTCAGTTATGAACGGATTTTGTGATAGGACCTTATTTAGAGATTTGTATGAAATTCCTATTAGATACCCCAGAAATTGGCAATAATGAGTTTCTTTGAAATCAACTTAAACTTGATAATAGTTTGAAAAAACAAAAAAACACGCTTTTATAGCTAACCAAACTAAAAATAGGATAATAATTTTCAATTACAAAGAGCTTATATTACTGTAGTATTTGGTCGAACAATCAATCATAATTAATGACCTCAAAATAAAATTATAATAAAATTTAAGTTATGAATATAGGGTGCGCCATCTTTTATGTCGGTATTGAAACATCGAATGACTTTGATATTTACCAACCGAGTGATTTGGTTATACGTGTTTCTGAAACGTCAATTTACTACACTTTTAGTCATCAATCGCTTTACACCGAAACGACGCGCCGAAATTGTCACAATGTACATTGAAAATCGTCGTTCAGTTGTGTTAACGCAACGTGCATATCGTTGAAAATATCGTGGCAAACAGGCACCGTCTGACAACACTATCCGTCGTTTGATTTCGGATTTTCTTGAGTACGGGACAGTGAGAGATTGGTTGAAGCATTTTGGCATCAGTGGAACCACGTTGAGGCCCATTTTGAAGGATGATTTGCATTTGTTTCCTTATAAGGTGCAGCTAACACAAAAAATATTGTCAACTGATCGTCCACGTCGCTTGGAATACGCTCAAACAGTCGTTCGCATGGTTCATGCTGAACCTGATCTTTGGAAGCAAGTTGTGATCACCAACGAGCCCCATTTCACGCTTTCTGTTAATAGCTTAAATTTTATTATAATTTTATTTTGAGGACATTAGTTATGATTGATTGTTCGACCATCTACTACTGTATTATTAACTCCTTTAATTTAAAATTATTTTCTAATTTTTAGTTCGGTTACCTATAAAAGCGTGTGTTTTTTTTTCAAACTATTATTAATTTTTCATTTTTTAGTTCGATTTATTAATTAGTTTTTTGTGGACATGTGGCATTTAAATGTCTTACGAATCATTTCGTAATCTAATCATTTCATATAAAGCTTCACTGTTGCATGGGGTTTTTAGTGTTAACTTAGAGCAATCAACTTCTTTAATCCGAATACCATCTAAAGATCTTACACGACTAAGTGATACATAAGCTTGTCCAGCACCAAACAGTCGCGAGACTAAATAAATGACTGCATGCTCGACTGTACAACCTTGCATCTTGTGGACGGTCGAAGTTCAACTCAGGACTAATGGCAACATTCGCAACGAACAAGGTGAGAATGCACTACATTGAAAAAGTACCTGCCTCCGTTGTACTGTGTCGAGTGCCCCAACCAACAAAGAGTAAATCCGAAACTGCACGCATGCGCATATCGCGCGCTAGCTCTATCTCTCTTACTCCCACATAGAGGATCTATAAAAGAATTTATCAATCCTGCCGGTCCTAAGAAGGATAATGAAAAAATGTTAACAAATTATTGCATCGTCATCGGTCTCTGATACGTGTACAGAGTTTCAAATTAATCAAATCTCTGGAAATTGGTGAAAATTATGCTCAAAGATTCCATTATATATATGTACATACATACAGTCCAAGCTAATAAAAGCATGTTAAAAAATTAAAAAGGGTATACCACAATCTGTCTTCTGCGGGGATTGAACTCACGACTCCTGGTTTACAAGACCAGCGCTCTGCCACTGAGCTACAGAGGCTTGTAGTTTCACTATTCGTAATTTGAAATCCGTGGCTTTTTATTAAGCTTGTTACAGAATTTTATTTGTAAGGATGATGAAAAACTGTTACCAAATTAAAGTTTCAAATTAATCAAGCTTCCGGAAATTGGTGAAAATTATGCTCAAAGATTCTGATATGCATAGATACACGCCAATCTAATAGAAACGTGTTAAAATGAATTCTGTGACATGGACAAAAAACATTTTTTTTTTCGTACATATTTACCTCTTTCAACAAAGTGTTAGGTTCAATATTTTAACCGTACGAAGTCGCGGGTGACAGCTAGTGCTCTTATAAAATTTCCCCCCACCCTGTTAGCGTCGTTACAGCGCTTCTGTCCGTAATACCGAAGTGCCCAAGCTAAAGTAAGTGGCGTTAATTATTAAATCTAATTAAAAACGCTAGTGAAAAGGTGGCGTAAGGCAACACAGAGCACCTCTCGTCATACAATGGACGATTCCTTAGCGTCTTCAGCTTTTCAAGAATCTGTTTCGCAATGAGATTCTCAAGTGTCATCGAGCATACGTTTTCAAGGAATACCTATTAGATGCTCAAAGAAAACGGGCGTTGTTTGTTTTTGTCTTTTACTTCATGTAAAATTGGACGATTGAGGATGCTGGAAGAGGCGAAAGCTTCGTAGACCTGCAGTTTTGTGAATCCTATTTCAGTTTTCATGTATTTAACAGCTTTTAGCTCATGTTTTACTTATGATGGTTGATGAGATAGAACCGAACAAAAATCTTTAGGCAATCCTCTCTAAATCGCATGATTAATGTACTCAGAGCAGCACCAAGCATGATGATGAATTTTGAACTGTAGAAGCATACCACCGAAAAAATCAGATAGGTTCGCGTATCTGTAGTCAATATGTTAACTAAGTCGGGCGTGCAGATCGCGAATCAATGTCAATTTTCCTGACAGGAACAGGGCTTCCGACACTGAACATTTTTTGATACCGTTGTTCGAAATCAGCAAAATTTCCCACAGTAACGAGTTTTGAACGCTTGTGGGTACAGGAAACAAAAATGCAAACTTTATATTTAGAAACTTCAAGTCATACTACTGAAAACAATTTTGAAAAAAACTCTTGCGTACCTTCAATCAAGAGGGAAACTTATTTTTTGGGTAAAGAAGTACGTAGATGGCGAACCCGATGCCAGCTTTGCCCTGACATGAACGGTATCTCATTGTAAACTATACCTCACAATATCGCAGAGCTATTAAAATAGTCTTAGCTATCACCGAAATAAAAAATGGCAGTTCCTACGTTAACCTCAACAAACAATATTATTGATATCAGGGGTGCATTTGTAAATCACTTCATAATGTATATATCTATATATCTCATTGTAAACTATACCTCACAATATCGCAGAGCTATTAAAATAGTCTTAGCTATCACCGAAATAAAAAATGGCAGTTCCTACGTTAACCTCAACAAACAATATTATTGATATCAGGGGTGCATTTGTAAATCACTTCATAATGTAATATCGTACACGGTAATGGAATGGAGATTGAATACTGTGTAACTTTATTTCTAGACCGCCCAAATTATTACAAAGTCTTACAACGACACTTGTTGAGGGCATACTAATTTATAACTACGTTTGCTGCATTTTTCTGCTACATGAAACGCTATCGATACGAGATAGACCATTTACCTTAGATATGCCATATAAGTATATCTGTGCCTTAGAGGTAAACGATCGTAACTCCATTTTTGCAGTTTTTGTGATTATCTGCGTATAATTAGTATCCCTGGTTAATCTTTACGTGGAGTAAATGATCGTAGCACCTAACCACCATAATCATGAAATATATGAAATAGAACAAACAGCTAGTGATTTTTTGTTAGAGGTAAACAGTCGCTTCTCCATACATACGCACAGTACTATCATATGAATCATCGCTATGCAGCGGTAAACAGTCGTGAGTTATAAGATCGATGCTTCGAGATCGCTTTTTAAAAAGTTTATTTTTCGAAAATACAAAACACAAAACTGTACTTTTACAAAATTATTACAATGTTATTATGATGTACACAGTACAAAGGCTTAAATCTGACTGACTGTAAAATGTGTTGAGAACAATAAAGTAAACTCTAGGTCTTCTAGGAAATTAGTAGCATCGTCGGCAGTATTCCTATCATATCAGCAGGAACGGCTGATATAACTCGTGTCTCCGTCGCGAACCGCTTACTTTACAAACTGTGTTGTTCATTCTTCAAAGTTGATCAAGGTGCTTAAGTAACCAAAAAACGGTAATAATGTCCTCAAGGGCTCAAAAATTAGTGCAGCTTGCACTGGAGGAAGAAATCGATTCTCGAGAATCTAGTAAGTACAACATAATTGATATTATATGTTAGGTGTCCGATCCAAAACAGGAACATTATGATGATCGTAAACTACTTTTACAGATTACAAATATTAAAAGTCTTCCATTAAAGTGTATCATTCACAAGTTTCTTCTACGTGGACACACACACACATGGAAGCTGATCATACCCATGCACTTATCGAACGAGTTATAAAAAAACAACCAACCATGAAAATATGTACTCCAGGGACTGGCAGCAACTTATAAGATCAACCGGAGCCACAGTCTTCGAGATGCAGTTACTATATACATATATATATGACTTCAAGAACTTCGAGGCCTTATATTCAGGCACAGGATCACCTCTCATTCAAAAGAAACAGACAGAAGACAAAGAAAGCTTTTTAGTGTCATCAGCGGTGTGGTTTGAGGTTCCAAAACAGGATCCAGGGATACTCTACAAAAAAACACACATACTGCAAGAGTACTTCAAAATGGTAAACATGAATAGATTCTCTAGAAAACCGATAGAGTTACCACTGTTCGCCGCGTCAAACCCCAAAAGGATTTAGCAAGAAAAAGCACAATCATCTTCTTATGCTTCTGTAATGGATACCAGAAGCATTTAATGATTTTTATAAAAATATTCCTGTGCTAGGTCAACAAGGAGATGATGACGACGACGACGATTGAATCTATATTCTCCAGATTTTTTGTAATAAGAAAATTTAGCCTATTTCCACCAACTGTATTTACTGTGTTTCATCCTATGCTGCATCTGGATTTTATTATCATAGTAAATAGTAACTCACAAAATAATCTGAATATCAAACTGTAAGATTATTAACATGAAGCATTACTGTTCTGTGTACCATATAATATGTTTTCCCAAAAAACTATATTCGCATATTAACAGTAACATGAACAAAAATCCATTCTCCTACTAACTCAATCTTTAATTTGCTTGTTCTCTGAGTTCCATTATATGGAGCTACAACTATATACCTCTAAGGCACAGATATATTCTGAGTAACTTTTGATAAGCAGACGAAGTAAACGAACAATGAACCATAAGAATGACAAGTGCCAACAGTCTTATTCCCAAGGTACAAAGTACACTCTGTAACAATTTACGTACGCAGCCCTGCAGTGCTCATGTAGCTTATGATGGCATACAAGTAGACAATATGGGTTTGTGGAAAATCCAGTCGGACATGGTGAGGGTGATGACGTCTTGACATCGAACGCTAGCAATGAACGCTTCCTGAAACGTCTATCCTGTGGATCAGGCAACGACCGTAATATAAAATGAAAAAATGATCCGTTGCAGGAATTTTTCCCTACATAATACGGAATATGATTGTAGACCTCGCCAGCAATCGGAAACTAATAAATACAAACTACATACATCAGTTTCAAATATTCTTTAATATCTTATTTTTTGTAAAAAAATAAGACCAGGAGCTAGTTTCAGTTTGAGCTGGAATTTAATCTCTGAGTAATTATTAGGTCTAAAAGAGGATAAACTCAACCATAAAGTTAAAATACTCGTTATTGAGACGTGCATCGTACTACTGATTAGAAAAAAACCATAGGGAGAAATTGTGAATGCAGCCAGGTTCAATATATTCTCTTTTTCATAATAAACCATGGAGAGTAATTCGTAAATACAAAGTTGCTTCTTCTAGAAATACCTAAATCACCCCTAAACATATTATTTTGCCTATAGTCAACTTCTAGGCTCAAAACAAAGCGGTCACTTAATTGAAAATACGTTCTTATCAGAGTATCTCACTGAAGTTGTTAGTGAAATTCGTCAGTTTGAATTATTTGTAAGGATCATCAATTTTGGGTTACTATGGACGTCACGTTTTACAAAACATTTTGCTGCGCTTAGGTTTTCCGTTCATCAGTGGATGAAAAACTAATTTCTAAATCATTCTATTGGAATCACTACCATAAATGGAAGCAATTTCCCCAACACAATCAGCCACAGTCATGATTTTAACCAGCAGGTGGACAACTGATTGAGCAAGAGAGAGCGATACGGTATATTTTCTTTATTACAAAGCTACAGATAGATCTCTAGATCATCATCAAAGAGCAAGCTAGGACAAGTGAGATAGTCAATCAGATCCCTGATAAAATAAAGGAACAGGAGAGGCCCAAGATTTGCCCCTTGAGGCACCCCAGATGGTACGTTATAAACAAAAGAAATAAAACCATTATAAGAGACGTATTGAGTCCTTCCACTTGAGTAGGAAGTGAAAAGTTTCTGCAAACGAAAGCCAAAGCCGAAAAATGGCAGCTTGCCAATAATCTTATTGTGACTAATCTCATCGAAGGCCTCTGAGAAGTCAGTATAGACTACATCCATCTGGCCTTTATCATCCAAAACACCTGGTATTTCCTGAGTAAGTTTCATTAAGTTTGAGACGGTTGACCGGTTACACATTAATCCATGCTGTGATTCCAATATCAGATGCTTAGAGGCTAAAAGCAGTCGTATATTGATATCTCAAAAACCTTCGCAAAATTGTCCAATATGGAAATAGCTCGGTAATTTTCAATGATACATGGGTCACCAGCTTTTAGTATAGGGCATACTTTTGCCGATTTCCATTTCGTAGGAAATGTTGCTGTAATAAGGGTACAACTAAATATTTTCTTCAAAGGCTTTATAAATAGCGGTCAACTTATTAGGTAGTTTGAGCAGGGATTTTAAAATAATTTCGTCCGTAAAGTTGAGGATATCAACGCAATCATGCTGGCTGTCCAGATAATGTTGCTGGCTTGAATTGTTATGGACATAAACACTTTGAAAATAATCAGGAAATGCATTTATAACCGTATGTGGGGTATCAAAACTTTCATCCCGGAGAGTCATCCGACCAGGTATTCTAGATGAACCCTTCTTAGATTGAATAAATGACCAAAAGTGCTTTGGATTTGGGATCAAATCATTTTAGACATTCAGCAAATATTGATTGTAAGCATCTTTTATTTGTTTTTTGACAAGTTCTTAGACCCTCCAAAATTGCTTATAGACTTCCCTTGATTTAAGCCGCTTGAATTGATTATGCAGTTTGCATTTTAATTTGATATTTCGAATTATTTCCGAGCTATACCATTTTGGATAGTAGTGCTTACGTTTAATATACTTAGGGACATACAAATCAAATGTGCGATACAGCTTATCATAGAATATATTACACGTTTGATCAACATCCCCCACACTACCGAGAAAAGACCAGTCAACATAAGAGAAAGTTCTAAGCTGCGCTTGTAATATTTGTGACAAAATTAGAGGCACTTCTAAGACTAATTTCAAATTCTATAGCTAATGAAGGATGATGTACGTCTTAATTAATGGTAGATTCTCACGAACAGTTTCACAAGTCATATTCGCTATAACCAAATCCAACATTCTACCTCTGGAGTTCAATATACTATTAGTTTGGGAAAGACCCGAATATTCTAAAAAGCTATGAAGAGCCATGGAGTATCTATCCCTAGCAGCATCATTAGTAAAATTTGGAACGTTAAAGTATCCGAGTATTAACATATTGGACTGGTTCAATGTAGTTTGGGAAAATAGTTCTAGAAACATATCAAAGTCTGCGAGCGTGATTTGGGGAGGTATGTAAAGAACATATATGCACACTGAGCTAAGTCCTACAGTACATTTGACTCCAAGCATATCAATTAAACAAATAGCGTTACGAATATGTTCAAGATTGATATTTTCAACATTTGAAATGTTATTATTACATGCTAACAGCACACCTCCACCACACGCGTAATTTGTACTTGTTAAGTCACGGTCACACCGCACAACATGGTAACTAGGAGGAAATAGCTCCGAACTTCGCACATCACTACACAACCAGGTTTCAGCGAGACCAACAAAATCATAATCGGATGACAAGCTTGAAGAGTAAAAGTCAGTAATTTTTGTGTTCAAGCCCCGTACATTTTGGAAGTAGCAATGAACAGGGGTACCTACTTTTGTTGGGCTTTTCTAGTTTCCCGCTATAACTTTAGGGACACCGTGAACATATTTAATTTTTAATCCTGTCTCACCTTTGGCAGAGCGCTCTTAAAACACTGTTGACCCATCTTGTGCTCGAACTGAGGGAATTAAGTATAGCAAACGTTTGGTGAAGGAGGTTTCCAAAGACCAATTTTTCTAAGGCTTTCTGACCATTCAACATTTTTGATATTTGAGGTCAGCTTGACAAATGACCTTAGTTTCACGAGTTCCATTTACTAGAAACGAAGACAAGGATAATTAAAAAATTATTGTGTACCCACAATCATGACGAGAATTTAGGGTGAATCTGGCGTCCAAATCACGAATTAATTTCAGGCCTACAGTGCGAGAAGCTTAGATGACTGAAGCTCAAAATCCAAAATTCGTATCCGGATGATATAACGCGCCACCAAAATATCAATCTGTCTATGCAAAAACAGAACAACAGAACAACTAAATGAATCCCTTGTGGCATTTTCCTTTTACATAGATATATCGTCGATTATTATAGCATGGGAATGGATAAAAGCCCGACGCGGCTGAGGTTTAATTTCCGGTTAAAGGAAACGGTAGCGAGATACAACAAAGTTGCAGTTTTATGTTTTCTTTTTCCTCTGCTGCTTTCAATTTCAATAATTGCTTTGTAATACACATTGATACCTTTATTACTCGAATCTGACCTCGTTCTCAGTATTAGATATAAAAAAGTGAACTTTGTAATCAGATGGAAAATCTTAGAGAAGGTAGCTACAGAACCGTGAGTACTTAGTAATACGGTTTTTCTTAACAGCTGAAAGTGCCACGCATTTGAGTTTTGAAAGTATCACTTTCCTGCACGGCGGCTGAAAAGTAAAAATGTTTCCAGGTGTTACATTTAATCACTGTTTTACTGCACTACCACCCTGCCCAGCATTTTTTCGTCCTCTATATATTTCCAAAATGCCAGCATCTGCTTTTTTCTTATTAACGATAAAATTTCATGATGTTTATGTCTTTTGTTATATGGTCTCAATTGTTCCAGTATATTATTGTTTTTTGTTATGCGCTGGTAGCAAAATTTTTCATAATTCTTGAGGGACAAATATATAAAATATATACAGGGTGATAGGGAAATAATATTCGTCACTTAACTTTAAGAAGTGACTGCTCCCATTATTCTAAGCAAAAAGGTTCATTATAACCTATGTCTGATAATCAACCGTTTCGGAGCAAAAAAATGCTGAACTTATTTCTTTTTAGTCATGAAAAAAATTATATTTTGCACCTTAATAATTTAAATTCATATGCCTAATAGCGTAAAATGTATCAATACATCTATTTATCAATTAACTGTCTCTAACAAAATAATTTTCTTGCTTATTAACTCACCGGTAGTCGCGCCCTGGTTTTGTACTCTGTTGGTCGCGCTGGGTCTATCAGACCCAGGCAAACTTTCAATTTTCTTTGGTACAAAAAAGCCGTTTGCCTAGAATAACGCATGAACCAGTATATTGTTTGACATATGTCAACTCATACTTTCAAAAATAGAACATCGACGAA